GCCCCTTCCCACCACAGAAGATTCTACTCACAGTTACTTCAAACAAAGTTCAATTGATAGATCTTGTAGTAGATTGCCTCCAAGAGATGAGAGAATCACTGAAAGTCTGCACACACAAGTTAGTTTTAACTGGAAGGTCCCCGGTACCTGTGGAAGTCAATAATGGCTTATTGATTCATCGACAAGATCTCAGGACAACCCATGAGGAGGCTGATGTTATCATAATACAGCAAGTGGTATCTGTTGCAGAGTCACTTACCAATGCATCTATTACAGTGGTGTGTGATGACACTGATGTGTTCGTGCTGCTGCTACATTTCTACCTGTGCCAACAATTAACATGTCAGCTATCCATGGAGTCAACATCATCTGTGAACAAGAAGTGCATCAACATTAAGGCCACAGCTGAGAAACATTCTGCTATTATTCCCAAACTTCTTGCAGTTCATGCCCTTACAGGCTGTGACACAGTGGCTCAGTGCTGGGGCATTGGAAAATCTACTGCTGTGAAATTGTTGAAAGGTAATTACCATCTTCATCATGTTGGGGATCTGTCTGCTTCCACTGAAGAAATCATACAAGAGTCTGTATCATTTGTGTCTGCATGTTATGGACACACTGCATCTTCAATGCATGAGCTTCGATTCAAGGTGTGGAAATCAAAAGTTGGAAGAAGAAATGCTCTCTCAACTGTGAAGATTATGTCATTGCCACCTACTCAGGAGGCATTTGAGCAGAATGCACTGAGGGCTCACCTGCAAACCTGCATCTGGAAACATGCTTTAGATGAAGATCCTCCAACACTAGATCCTCTCAAGCATGGCTGGATGAAAGACACTCTCAACCAGACCTTGCTTCCAGTTTTGCTTCCACCAGGGACCCCATCAGCTCCCGACTACATTCTCAAACTGCTGAAATGTTGTTGTGAAAACTGCACCTCAGCAAAGTGTGGATGTGCTGTTGCTCGACTTCCCTGTACAATGTTCTGCGAATGTACAGGATGTGATGACTGCTATAACCAGCACACCAGAGCTGCCCTTAGAGTGCTCAATGAAAGTGACTGACATTTCAAATCCATTGTGCCAAGAGTCTGAAACAGACTTTGCCTATGACTCTCACTCATGAATACAGACTCAAAATTGATTTGGGTAATTATTTGTATGATGCAAGTTCTTCACTTTTGTAGCATTGTAAGTAGCAATCAGTCAATATATCATACAGGTTGGACATGGATTTTAAATGGATAATGATATTCATAATTCATGCATAAGATTCTATGAAACAATAAGATTAAAAACCTGAATAGATGTTGTAATAACACTCTATTATCCATACAATTAATTTAATAACATCATTGCCCTGTTTTTCGGGTATAAATAAACTATATTCATGTCAGAAATTACACAACAAAATAATCGCTTTAACCACTTATCTACTTGTAGAACATTATTCTAGAGTAAAATGGTATTGACTGCATACTGTCTGGATAAAAGGGTTTTTTAAAAAAAAAAAATAACCCATAATTCCCTTTGTTTAAATACTGTAAAGAACTCACATATCATGTGTGAGCAACAGTTGTGAAAACATGTTGTATACTAAGAATATACAACACCTTTAATCACTGTAAAGCTCATAGTGTGTTTCTTTGTAACCACCAAAATGTTGCCGATTATCAAAAGAGGGTCATTTTAAAAAATCATTTTTTCAAAACCCTCAATGGTGCCAAGGTGGCATCCGATAGTTTATTCATCTTTAGTGTCTGAGGGAATGAAATCATGCAAAAACTATTGTGGGACCTTAATTGCAAGGTCATGTGTCAACATTTCATGCTAAAATGGACTAACAAGCATGGGAGACACCAGAAATGGGCTTCACACATTGTACCCATGTGGGGATTCGAACCCGGGTCTTCGGCGTGACGAGCGAACGCTTTAACCACTGAGCTACCCCACCGCCCCCACACCAGAAATGGGCTTCACATATTGTACCCTTGTGAGGAATCGAACCCGGGTCTTCGGCGTGACGAGCAAACGCTTTAACCACTAGGCTACCCCAATGGGGTACTCACTCTGCTGTTTCTGGTCGCAGTAATCTCCAAGAAATTCTGTAACTAAAATGTCTATATGTCTTACTGAAATGTCACAAGCTATTTAAACATGTTGTTATATTGAACAACTTTATTCTTATTGTGAAAAAAATTGTAGTTACTAGTGAAAACGATATATAATCTGTAAACTTAATTGAGTGGGTTTTTTATGTTGATGTTTTTGTTGTTGTTTTCTTTTATGTTGTTTAACACAGCAATATTCCAGGTTTGTGGCGGCGGTCTGTAAATAATCGAGCCTACGCCAGACAATCCAGTCATCAACAGCATGAGCATCGATCCACGCAATTGATATGAGTCAACTAAACCTTGCTGAGTGCGGCGTAACACATGAAACGAAAGGTCGCACTAACAGTTGGTAATTTGGGGGCGGTGGGGTAGCTTAGTGGTTAAAGCGTTGGCTCGACACAGCGAAGACCCGGGTTCGAATCCCCACATGGGTACATTGTGTGAAGCCCATTTCTGGTGTCCCCCGCGTGATGTTGCTGGAATATTGCTAAAAGCGGCGTAAAACCAAACTCAGTCAGTCAGTTGGTAATTTGAAAACACTGAGACACAATCAGTCAGTCGGACAACCACATCTCAAATAGGAAGTTCATCAGTGAATATTCATGATTCTGTGCAGCTATCGTTAACATTAACGTCAACATTAAACGACCATTAAAACGTACAAGGTATACACATTGCTTACAGCTGTCACTTAATGCAAGCACACAAGCCAGAACTCACGCTCCGCTGGACGTGAAGGGTAGCTGTGGCACCAACAGCAAAACAGTATATATTTTACTGGCGCATCAATCGCTACTTAGCTATTATTGTTCATTTATATCATTTTATTAATCACAATATTTGAGGTTCAAAAAGTGAAGTTATTAAAATGGTTTAACACCATTAACATCTTGCACGTTCTCGGCGCTCTCTTGTATTTTGAATGCATAAATCAGTTTGCACCATACACCACCTCGAAAGAGAGTAAACAGATCTTGTTACTGAACCTTGCAACAGACCCCGTGTATTATGGAAGCTTTTAGAACTGCTGTTAACTAGTCCGACACCATATGAAACTAACGAGAAGTTATACGACTATTTAAATGCAACATCGTATGTCTCTCTCAGCACAAAGTACATGAAGACAAGCACTTTTGTAAAGATCCTATTTTTACCATGCTTATCACGCCTATGGACCAGGCAGGGCAGTAACACAAATCCTCAGCAACGATGCAGTTAGACAAGTCAAAGAAACTCTCATAGAAATTACCGTATCGGTCGTGTTTTACAATTGTCATATACTGGAAACGTATTCTGTCTAGTTCATTCTGGACATTGAATGTTGAAGCATACCCTTCAAAAAAAGGTAGGGGAACTTCATTTTTAATTAATGATTAAAAAATATTGGGAGATATATCAGAGTCAGTCAATGTTGATATGATGATAATGAATGTTTTAGAGTGCATCACCAGTTGCACTTCCTTGTGACCTTAGTTGTTTGTACAGTTATTGCTCTTGAAAGACATTCAGACATTCATTCAGACGACGAGGCATAGTGACCAACTAGGGGAGAGTGTTCCATTCGTCCTGAAGCCCACGGCCAAGTTCATCCGGCGTAGTCGGCGGCCCTGGATCTTGATGTCTCCCTATCATGTCCCTGACGTGTTCGATGAGGGAAAGATCAGGGCTGATTGCTCGCCATGGCAAACGATAGATGTTGTGTTGCTGGAGGTGATTATTGACGATACGTGTACGGTGAGCACGGGCGTTATCACCCGGAGAGACGAAATGACGACCGAAATGCCAAGCAAAGGGGACAACAAAGGGTGCCACTATGTTGTCCTGGAAGTACTACCCTTTGACCCTTCCTTGCACAAGATGATAAGGGGTTGGTCTGCCATAGTTGACGTGGCATTCAATTCTTCGTCGCCAGACCCGACCACGCCTGTCAAGGAAGCCCAAGATAAATCTAGACTCCTCCGAAAACATGACACGTGACAGATCGATGTATTAAAGCCTGGTTCCGAATGAAACGATCCTGTACTCTTGTTGTTGACCTTGGACAACCTGAACGGGGTCGATCGTCATCATTTTGAGTTTGCTGATACCTGTTCCAAAATGTGTTAACGACCGACTTCGAAACATTGAAGGCGTTGGCCACTTCACCCTGGGTAGTGCCTGTTTGCTACATGCCAAATGCACGTAAACGTTCAGCTCCTTGCTGACACCGCATTGTAAAATCAAACAATAAAACCGTTATAAACAAACACTAGCAACTGTGTGATCAACAGATGCAAGATGATTGTCAAAATAAATGGTCTGAAGTTATCGACCTTCTTGAAAACCGCCAATTCAAGAATGACACCACATGCACGTTTATGGGTCTACTGTGTCGTGTACCATATGTTGTGTTTAGGGGTGATGATAAAGAGAAATGGTGGTGCGTTCAAATGATATCAGTCTTTGAAAAGTTAGTTAACGCTTATACTTCCTATCCAAATTGAAAGTTCGGCTCCCCTAATTTGTTAAAGAGTATATTTGTGACACTAAAGTTTCACAATGGATCAATTAGATACACACTCAGGAAAGGATTTATGCATTTTTGTCGACCATACCTGATAATTATATAGATATATAAGTATTCCTTTGGTGGTTTCAATTTATATATCGTGACTGTTGTGACTCGTGGTTAATGATAAATCTCTTGAGTTTTCAGTTTAGAATATTTTTCCTGGGTGTGTGGATTTGGGACCTCTAAACTCTACTTCAACATGAACGTTACTGAAATTCAGATATCATCTTTCTGAGCTATTCACGTTTACTTAACAAATGACCATCATACTGGACACATACGTTCGTTTGTTAGCACACACAATTATTTTCACAAAAGATAACCTAAAAACATATCATTGGAAGTGACGTCACTTTATTCAAAATCGACCTGCTGATCACATTTGATTTATGTCCAGTTACTTCAGTACCTACAACAGAAAACACAAATTTAACAAATGCGTAATACGTTACAAGTACTTTATCAAAACTGTGTGGACATAGAACACATATGTTTACGTCTGTTAAGATTACAACTGACCCGTGAAGATGCCGGGGTAGAATAGATCTTCAGCAACCCATGTGCTTGCCATAAAAGGCGACTATGCTTGTCGTAAGAGGCGACTAACGGGATCGGGTGGTCAGGCTCGATGACTTGGTTGACACATGTCATCGGTTCCCAATGCGCAGATCGATGCTCATGCTGTTGATCACTGGATTGTCTGGTCCAGACTCGATTATTTACAGACCGCCGCCATATAGCTGGAATATTGCTGAGTGCGGCGTAAAACTAAACTCACTCACTCACTAAAATTACAACTTGTAAAATTAGAATAGTGATGTTGTAAAACCAAAAGCTAGACATAATGGTTTTTATCAGTTCAGTTCTAATTCAGTAAACACAATTACGCTATAAGGGTTAGACACAATACATAAACACGTACCTTCGACGGTCTTATTGGCTTGTATTGAGGAGTGCTTCGTTTGCGCACATTTCCAGAACGTCACGCATTACCTGTCCCTCACCTACAACATTGTCAGACATAGTCAGGTATATGAACAGAACATGTGACATAGATAATTCAAGTACATGGATATACTGAAGCCTCAAACTCTTAGCCGGATAAACAACACAATAGCTCTAAAACTGTTTATTGCAGAATCAAATTCATGTGTTGGGGATTGAAAATAAAGAGGCACTGCACTAAACCACACAGGGCGCGCAATGTTTTCGAACGGATTGATTTGTCAGATGAAAGACAAGATCAATCAATCATACGTCAAACCATTTACTCTGATACGGTACTCTGATACAGCACAAAGGTAGTTCATTGTGTCAAAGTGAGCTGTCCATGTTAAGCTGTGGCACGGTATTATAGTGAGCCAGTATTGTAAAACCGGCGCAAATACTTACAAGTCCAAGCAGCCATATATGCAAGTTCCAGTATAAGCGTCCACAAGCTCAAACCTCAAGTATCGGATTAAAGAGTTCGTGTGTTTCTTTGCTTTGCTCTTTGCTTGTAATTCGACTTATAATTAGCGGTAGCAACTCGCATACCTCTCTCACAATGCTATGGTATGCTATGGTATGCTATGCTATGTTTATTTTTTGTTTTTGAGCGACTTGAACCTTTAACGGTCTATTTGCGCCTAATACAAATGACTTTGAACAAGAAGAAAGTGAGTAATGCAAATGAGACGAATAACCAATGCGCTACATGATACGATTTACATTTCAAAACCGTAGGTAATTACTATTTACTATTTCACTTCTTAAAAGTAAATCAGGTTACATTCACCTGATGAAGGAGTAAGCATATACTCCGAAAGATAGTGCTCCTCATAATAGTGACAATGTCTCAGACCTTGGTAGTGGACAGATTCAAGTAGTTTGAGGTCTTTACAGGCCCCACCATATACGATGGAGCCGTAATCAAGTTTCAATCTGACCAGTGATCTATATAAGTGAAGGAGGGTAGTTGATCCCCTCCTCACTCTGAATCTGAAACGACTTTCAACAAGTCAAGTGCCTTCAGGCCTTTAGCTATTTAATATGTGGCAGAAGGTTAAATGGGAGTCAAAGATGAGACCAAGGTAGAAAGATTCCATCGCAACTTTGATGGGTGATAGTTTGTGGTCTTTATGGGTTGTTCCTAACAATAAAGAAGTTGACATTAACAAAACTCTCTTCATTAAGAGAGATATGGCCCAGAATGTTCAAATCCCTTCGGTTACAAAATCCACTCTCAATTAGATGAACACCTAATTGTCTTTACATACATTGTACCATGTCAAAGCACAAAATATAATTACGTGTTAATATTTAGCAAGAAGTGAATCTTTTTACATAATGAAGTTGTTCTTACCTTGCTGGATAACAGATGATGATGTACTCACTGTTCAAAATGTTCCATTCTTACATAGACGGCAACTTGTGACATTTCTGATCAAGATAATTGCTCTGGAACACCCTGATCACAGCGATAACATCTGCCAATTATTATGTTACAATGTTTGTTGTTCCATGACACATCATAACTATCAAACTGGATGTTGATCTACAATACTGAAAATGCACAATCTCAAATTGAAATATACCCCTGATATGAAGGTCCGGGTAAGAAGATTGATCTTCAGTAACCCATGCTTGTCGTAAGAGGCGACTAACGGGATCTGGTGGTCAGGCTCGCTGGCTTGGTTGACACATGTCATCGGTTTCCAATAGTGTAGAAGAATGCTCATGCTGTTGTTCACTGGATTGCCTGGTCCGGATTCGATTATTTACAGAACGCCGCCATATAGATGGAATATTGCTGAGTGCGGCGTAAAACTAAACTCACTCACTCACTCAAAATGAAAGGCAATACAATACCGATAAAGCTGAGACAATACAATACCCTGGGGGGTGGTTGGCTTTTTTTGTTGTTCTTTTTTTGGTTTGTTTTGTTTTATTTTTTTATTTGGGTTATTTTCGTTTGTTTTGTTTGTTTTTCATGTTTGTCTCTTTTGTCTTTAACACTGCATTAAAGTTATCATTCCTCTACATAAAAACGGAGATGCTCATTTAACATCGAACTATCGCGGCATCACAATTAATAGTGCTTTTGCAAAAGTGTTTTCATCTGTATTGAATAACAGACTTATGGTATTGGTTGATAAATATAACGTCATTTCAGGTGCCCAGTTTGGATTCAAACATGGTTATTCTACCGTGGATGCATTATTTGTACTCCAAGGACTTGTCAGCAGCTATCTACAAGAAAATGCACGCCTTTATTGTTGTTTTGTTGACCTTTCAAAGGCGTTTGATACTGTCTACAGAGATGGCCTGTTGTTAAATTACATAACTTGGGAATACGTGGTAAAATGTGGACTATTATATAGGCTATGTATGCCGAGGTTAAAGCTTGCGTTAGATATAAAGGTAATATCTCTGACTACTTCCATGTTACTGTTGGTATAAAACAGGGCGAGGTCATGTCTCCCATATTATTTTCCTTGTTCATGGAAGATCTCGAAATGAAGCTCCAAGAAACGTCGATAGTGGTCTTTGGATTGAATATGTCAATCTGTTCCTTATATTGTTTGCTGATGACATTATCTTGTTTGCTGAATCGCCGAGCGGACATTCTCTGGATAGTTTGCATGAATACTGTAGTGACTGGGGCCTACAAGTTAACATTATGAAGACAAAAGTGATGGTTTTCCGCAAAAGACGAAAATTAAACCAGGATGAGCATTGGTATTTAAATACTATGCCGCTTGAGACTGTGGATGAATTTAACTACTTAGGTAATATGATTACATACACAGGTAATTTCAGATTTACTCAAAAATTGTTAGCTGGTAAAGGTTCAAAAGCTATGAATGTTCTGCTCCATAACATTAGAAATAGTCACCTTTCTGCTGAAAACATGTTGTGGTCTGTTTGATTCTTTGTTACATCTACTATGCACTATGGTTGTGAAGTCTGGGGTTTGCAAAACGCAATTGAAATTGAACGTGTACATTTAAAATTTTGTAAAAATATCCTTAAAGTTCATCACAATGTTACTAATATGGCTGTATATGATGAACTGGGTCGTTTTCCTTTGTATATTAATGGATATATAAGGGTTGTAAAATACTGGCTCAAACTGCAATCTACATCAAATTGTCTCCTTAAAGTAATCTGTGAATTGCTGTTGTCACAGTGTAATAATGGCGTCATAAACTGGGTGTTCCATGTTAAAAATGGTTTATTTATATATGGTTTTGGATATGTTTGGTCTGACCCAGGATGTTTTGACGCTAGTACGTTTTGTTGTCATTTTAGGCAACGCTTAATTGATTGTTTTATTCAAAAAATGGCATCATGACATTACTTATCTGAGCTATTCACTGTGCATAGCTACCAGCACCAGGAGTCGCTGAATTCAGATTTATTGCCTGTCACCTATACATCCTGTTCTCTACAGACGGCTGCTGTTCCGCGAGGTGGTCAATGTCAAGGGTCTATGATTAAAAGCCATTCGTCATGTCCCTCCGTGTGAATAAGCCCTTGGCTCCGTTTTAGAGATTCAATATAATGCCCCTAGTTTAATAACTCGTTGAGAGAGAATATTATAGGTTCTTCTGCCCCCTGGCAAGACATAATCTAACCTCACCTTAACCGCGATTATGATGGCTTTAAAATTATAAATTGATGTTTTGGACCGGGTAGCGAATCCCGTGAATTATACATGAAGGTTTATGAAACCCGGGATCACCCAGAACTGAAGAGTAACCCAAATGAATGAAAATGGCCGATGTGTATTACTTGAAGAGAAAATGTCACTTTATTGCTTTATGTATACTAGGCACATAAAGAAACTGTGCATACAAAAAATTTATAATCGAAATTTATCACATCTGTGTAGACACAAGGATTTAAACTCAGAGATTAGTGACATGTATCCAACATGCATGAACGTGCCACGTTCCGTGACGTCTGTGGGTTCGTCCTTGAGACGTGCAATACGTTGTTGCACGTGCATTCCGGGAAAGAGAAACAGAGCAAATGAATGCCACACAATACTGTCACTTTGGAAAGCTCAACCCCTGCCCTTGCGATCGTTCAAAAAATGAAACGGCTAATGAAACGCATAGCATGCCAAGGCTCACGTCTGCACAACGTCATGAGGCCATTGGGATGGTCCGTGGGGGAATGTCTCAACGACAAGTGGCTGCACATTTCCACTGCCACCGGAACACCATTTCTGCACTGGTGAGACGCTACCAGAACACAAATGACGTCCACGTGTAACAACGACAAGACAGGACAGATGGATAAGGGTGACCCATCTTCGCCACAGGTTTTAGACTGCAGTGATGACTGCCCGAACCATCCCAGGACTTCGCTGTATCCACCCCAACACAGTTCGACAACGTTTACGTCATCATGGGATCAGAC